TGTGTTACACAGGGCTGCAGACAGAGGGACGGGGGAGCATGGGAGGGCTCTGGCTGCTGAAGGCCAATGGGAGTGGGTCAATCGGCCCAGCTGCCCAATCAGCAGCCGCACTCTGCATGAGAGTGAGGGAGGCAGGGGAGAAAAAAAGCCCGGACATTTTAACCTTGTTACCAATTCCTCCCGGACGGCTATTTAGAGACGCAAAAGCTGGACATGTCCGGGGAAATACGGACGGATGGTAACCCTATTGTTATTAAACCAGCCCCAGACAGAAGGAGATGTTATCCACATGGAAGTCTGTGTGCAGTTCTAAAGGGGCCTGCAAACGAGGGCTAAAAGGGCAGGGTTCCTGCAAAGTGACCCGGGCCAGAACTGGGGAGGCGGGAGTGGTCAGTAAACAGGTACCCCACTGTATAGTCCCAGCAATAAAGTAGCTTATGTAAGCCTTGTCTATACTAGGCTTTAATCTGAACACTTCCCGCTAATGCTGGTGCAGCTCCACTTTTGTACACCAGGCACCAGCAATCACTATTATATTTACCACTATATTGCATAGACCTGCATTAAGCAGGTTTCAATAAAATGATGCTTAACAGGACAGCAATTGCCTGGAGCCCTGTGTACATTAGCTCCCCCACTGTTGATGCTTTGGTTGTTAGAAACTGGAGTTAGGAACTACCATAAACATGGATATTAGGTTGTCCCTTAATCTTGTCAAAAGTGACATGGAGTCTTTATTTACAGCCTAGTCTAGCATTATCCAGGCCAGAGGGACATTGGGTTTGTCTCATCTAAGGAATGAACCAGAATTCTTACATGTGGTCTTCAAAGCAAAAAATAATAGTGTGCAATGTTCCCCCTAATTGTTTACATCCATGTGCGGAATGAATTTTGTTATGTGCACCAATATGGAGGTGATGTATAGTAGGGGTGGGGCCGAGGGGTTCGGAATGTGGAAGGGGGTGGGCCTCAGGGCTGGGGCAGAGGGTTGTGGGGGCTTGGGGGTTCCGGGTGAGGGCTTTGGGGTGGGGATAAGGGGTTCAGGGTGTCGGATGGGGCTCAGGGCTGGGGCAGAGGATTGGGATGCAGGGGGTGCAGACGTTGGGGTGGGGCCAAGGATGAGGGGTTTGAGGTGCAGGCTGCAGCTGGGAGAGAGAACTCTCCACAGCCCTCTCTGACTGCAGCAGCCCAGGGCTGGCACAGAGGCACCTCTCCCCGGCAGCACTGGGGCTGTGGCCGAGGTGCCTCTCCCCTGCCGTGGCAGCACCAGGCCAGGGGAAAGGCGCCTCTCCCTGGCCACGCCGCTTAGAGGGAACTTAGTGTGGGCTTTTTTTTCTTTATAATATATCAAGAGAGCCTGAGATTTTTACAATAATTCTTGCTTACTTTTTGCCTAGAAGTATCAGGAGTCTTGTTTTACCTGTTTTTGCAGAGAATTCTTTGTAGGGCTTGCAAACTACTGTATTTGACTCTTTGCGGATTGCTTTCAGGTGTTTGTCAGGAGCTTGGCTAAATAGGTATTAACAAAAATAAAGGTATTTTTAAATAATCCAACTAGAAATCTTCCCTCTTTTCAACTGCTCAAGTTTCAGTGTTTTATGATGTCATCATCCCAGTCTATATAGTCAACAAAAGGTCCTTTAGCAAAAACAGTAGAAAAAACTTAGTATTTGCAGTGTTAAAAAAGAAAACCCAAAAGCGCTGACCATGATGCATAAAAAAGAAGCAAAAAAA